TAGCCGGCCGGCTAGGGGTCAAAAGGTTCAATGAGATTTTCTGGCCGGCCAGCTACTGGGGAGGTACTCCCATGTGTGTACAACACAACCAAGTGGTTAAAATTCCAAGAAAGTGGGTCTAAGGGGTTCAACATTAGCCCGGAAGAAAGGGGTCAAAAGGGTCAATTAACCTTAATGGCCGGCCACCAACTTTTAGGGGCCTCCCATGTGTGTAGATCACAGATATGTGGTTGAAAGTTGGCAACATTAACTCCAAGGTGTTCAACATTAGCCCGGAAGTCAGAAAAACCGGGCGTCGGAGGGCTTCGGAGGAGATATAACCGGCTGCTGCAACAAATACTAGCCTCCCGTCCTTCAGTGACCTTCCTCGTGATAAAACAGAGGTACCTGCCAAAAATGAACGAAAACCGTTGCAAAACGAATGTTCGGGGGCCAAAACACGCAGTTCGGGATCCCGAAAATGGGCTGTTAAACACCGAAAGTGGCGTTCGGCCACGAAGTGGGTTTCTCAGCCCCCAGTGTCCCTCAACAGGGAGCAAATAGGAAGTATGCCAAAAATCAGAGCAATAGGAGATGGTTAAGCGGTCCCGAACCGAGGCACACGGCCTGACGGCTCCGAAAACCGGAAACCGGGCTCCGAAATGGGAAAAATGGCCTACGGCCGCCAAATGTAGCCCACGGGCATTGAGAGATAGTCTACGTCCGAAATGGGCAAAATGGCCTACGGCCACCAAATGTAGCCTACGGACATTGAGAGATGGTCTACGGGACCTCTCCCTCCCCTCAGGAAAAGAAACAGAGAAAACCGAGTCTGGTTCGCAAACCGAGACAAGGCACAGAAGAGGGTTCGGAAGTCCGGAGGCAGGGCTCACGACCGCGACTCTGAAACTTCTGAACAAGCACATTATGCAACATCACCTAGCGCTCAATCGGTGACGTCTGAGTCTTAAGGTCGGTCAAAAATGGGGTGTCTACACCACCCGCTTGAGTGCAAAAAGGAACCCGCTCGAACGTAGATTACACTCTTCCAGTACTTTTATAGACATCGAACACCCGTTCGAGCGCAAGGATAACCGCTCGAGCGCGACCCACTCGAGCGTAAGGAACTCCGCTCGAGCGTGAAAAACAAACCTGCAGTACTTTTGCAGACGCACAAGATGCTGAAAGTATGCAAACTCCGCTCGAGCGCAAGAAAACCCGCTTGAGCGGATCACTAATGTCACGCCCCACTTTTTATTACTCGGAAGTGTTACCAAATTCATTACTTAATTCAATTTCAGAGATAACATACGAAAATAAACTCTTTAGTCCAATGAGTAAAAATAAATAATCATTCTCTCATCCGAATGCAAATTAAATACAACATGAGCATATTGAATAAAATGCCCGAAGGCTTACATCATTTATTTAAAAGAATCGAGAAGAAGGGTGTAACCCTTTTACAACAATGGCATTCCGCCAACATAAAAGAGGCCCCGTGGCCAACAAATAAGAAGATCCAAAATCTTGTAGCACATCCTGCTTATTACCTAAAAAAGATTCAACAACGTGGGATGAACATATAGTCCAGTAGGGATCTCAACATGATCCTCAACAATAACAACTTACAGGTAGCTATGATCATGAATGCTCAATCTCATACTAGAATAGTAATTTGGCAGTTTATACAAAATATACATAAGTATGTACTTTTCTCGAAAGTAGCCATTTCATTCAACGCTATAAGCAATTCATCTTTCCTTTCATTACCCTTTGTTCCCAAACTTTCATAAACAATAACAACTTAGAAAACAATTCCACTAAGCCCATTATTTTCCTCCCATTTTCCATACTTACAACAGATTTTTCCCTTTTTTCAGAACATACTTTCAAATACCCAATTTTCCTTCACACTTTCCCAAAATCTCATAATGGTATTTTGGTTTATTCCCAACACATTCATATCTATACATGCATGCCTTTAATAGAAAGGAAATAACAAATCAACAACATGTATATAATCAACAAATGAGGCAACTCGGCCCTCCAAAACTGTAACCATCGCAATCCAGGATATACTCAGATAAACTGAGACAATAATAATAAAGCTCTACCCTACCTGCCATAAGCACGGTAAATTAAGGATGCACCTTACAATCAAATGACTAGCCACATTCTCCAGACACAAGCTGGAAGGTAATGGTACCTAGTCTAAGTTCTCTAGGCGCTAGCTGGAAGGTACTGGTACCCCTTATTCGAAGCGCGGTATATAACACTAACCATCTCAATATAGCAAAGCACAACCAATAAGTGTAATACGTACACATAAACTATTCAAGATACATAAGCAATGTGTTAAAGTATATGAACACATAGGTGTGTGGAGTACATCCCATATCTCCTCCCGCACACTGGAGTACATCACCTACAATGGTCAATCAACACAGGTGTAATGCATACACGACAATTCAACACAATCATGTCATCCTCCATCGATAACCAAGGACAAAACCTCTAGATGCATGATTTTAATACACCTATTATAAAGACTCAACTCACATGAGATCTTAAACCCAACAACGCCACTAGTACGATAGGTAAGGGTAAAACCCTCAAATGTGTGTATTCAACACTCATGATACAATAATTAAGTTCTCATATTCATTTTCCGAGACTCACATAGAGTTAACATTTCATTTTCCATTTTCAAGGTCAACTTTTATAAACTTTCCAAGTCAACAAGTTACACCACTTATTCCCAAAAACACTTTTCCCATTCACAAAATCAATTCCATTCTTTTTATTTTACAAAACCAATTCCATGGATAATAAAAGCCATAAGTCAACTCGGTTCAATACATTCATTTCAAAACAACCCCAAAGCCATAGTTAATCCCTTAGGCATTAACACATTCACCCACTCATATTAACAATGGTAATTTACAATTATTGTTCAACTACCCTCCATTTTAATTTACCAAATCAAAACATAATTTAGGACTTTTTCCTCTTTCCACAATAACATGCTAATTTATACTCCAATTAGCCCAAAGAACTATCAATGATAAAAAAAAAAAATCATTCTCAAACAACCAACCTTAGGTTCCCTCACATGGTTTTCAAAGAAATTCAACATGATATGATTTTCATGTAATACAAAACTACCACATGTCTATCTATAGACGGAGTATTGAAAAAGAACAAGGAGAATCCCTGCCTCAAATAGAGAACCCAAGGGGAGGAAGAGCCAAACTCGGAAGTGCTCCAATCCCAAAGTTTTTTGGATCAAAACGAAGCCCACGCAACCCTCTACCTTTCTTACAAAGAGATTAGGGTAGGAACACCCAAGAACTAGATCAATACCTAGAGAGAAGGTAAGTGTAGAGAGAGAGAGAGAGAGAGAGAGAGAGAGAGAGTCGAATCTAGGGTTTGAGACAAAAGGGGAAATCAAAAAGTGAAGAAGAAGCTACTGCTGCGAACTAATATATACGTTTCTCGCTCGAGCGAAGGAGTGGTCGCTCGAGCGACCAGACACAAAGAAACCTCGCTCAAGCGAAGAAACGCTCGCTCGAGCGAAAAAGTCCAAAACATACAGCTCTCTCGCCCGAGCGAAGAACAGCTCGCTCGAGCCAAGGCTGAGTCTGAACAAAACCTGAAGACACGAAAATCCCGCTCGAACGAAGAAGCAACAACACAAGGCTCGCTCGAGCGAAGAGGCTAAAAACTGGACAGCAACCATATGCTTCCAATCACAACCAACCTGAAACAGACCTACCCAAAATATCCTATAATTCAAATACAAAGTATTGAAGGACGGAAACAAGCTAAATACAACAACCCACATCTACGGAACCAAGTTCGGAATACAATACTCAATGAAGGGAAAACTGGGATCGTTATAACTAAAAATCTGGGCAACAAGAGTTGGGACAAAAGCTCAACCAACCTGTTCGAAACACGCCCAAGACAATTCTAAACTCAAATACAAAGAGTTAAAGGACGGAAATGAAATACAGACAACAACAACTATCAACGGAACTGAGTCCTGAATACAGTAAACATGAGAGGAAAATCGGGATCGCTATATACATCTACAGGGAAATAATGAACTGATGCAAATTAATGAATGTCACCCAGCGTATTTGCCATTGCATTATGTTTTATTATTCCCGTATAGTGAGCTCAGATGGGAACTTGAGTTGAAATTGTAGGATGTTAAACATGATCGGCCTTTAACTGATCGACTTACTCAAATAAATTTTTATAGTTATCGTTTGTTTGAGCGACCTACAGAGTATTCAATAATTTTGAGAGGTGAAAAACTATTCCAAGAGTTTTTGATAGATGCTTGGGCTGCAACTGAGCAAAATCAGTTGACGTACTACAAGCTTAATAAAAAAAAAAATTTGGGCTGAACTTTACCAAGATTTAAGCGATATTGATCCAGATGACTTGTGACCTAATCAAATTGGTCAAAGGTTTATTTTGCCATCTTCATTTACTGGTAGTCCTAGACATATGTTTGAAATCTTTCAAGATTCAATGGCACTATCACGCGATATAACCAGCACCCAGATATTTTTCTCACCATGACTGCAAATTCCAATTGGCCAGAAATTACTTCAACATTATTACCACACCAAAAAGCTATTGATTGTCCTGATTTGATTGCCCATGTTTTTTAGCTAAAAAGAAAGTGTTTGATGAAGGAGATAGAGACAAACAAAGTGTTCGGTAATAAAGTTGCACATGTTTTTACAATTGAATTCCAAAAATGAGGCCTACCACATATGCATGCACTTCTCTTTCTTAAAGGTCCAGACAAAATTCGAACATGTGCTCAAGTAGACAAATTAGTTTGTGCAGAATTTCTAGATCCAAAAAATGATCCTACACTTTTTGAAACTGTCAAGTGTTGCATGGTACATGGACCATGTGGTGCTCGAAATCCCCAAGCACCATGCATGGAAAATGATAGATGTACTAAGAAATACCCTCGAGCCTTTGCAGAATCAACAACTATGGACCAAGATGGATATCCAATTTATCGTCGTCGCAATAGTGGTCAAGTATATATTGTGAGAGGACAGGAAGTTGATAACAGGGATGTGGTACCATACAATGCATATCTTTCTAAACGGTTCAACTGTCATATAAATGTAGAAATTTGTGCTGAAGTGAGATGTGTTAAGTATATACATAAGTATATTTACAAGGGTTATAATCGCACAACAATGGTTTTGGGATTGATTAATGAGATCCAACAATATCTTGATGCGAGGTATATTGGACCACCAAAAGCTGCTTGGCGAATATTCGGTCATCATTTGCATGCAAAGATGCCAACAGTTGTTCGCTTGGCACTTCATCTACCTAGAATAAATCGTGTTCTTTTCAATCCTAATGACTCATTCGAAATGATTCTTTCTAGAGTTGCGCAACAAAAATCGACTCTTACTGGTTTTTGTGATTATTGTGCTTCCGATGAAAATGAATGCCAATTCACTTACCAAGAATTTCCGCAACATTTGTTTGGCTCAAGTCAGAACATAGATGGAAACCAAGAGAACATGGATATGCAATTGGTAGAATGTACTTTGCTAGCCCTAACTGTGGTGAAAGATTTTATCTACGTTTGTTGTTAACTGTTGTCGAAGGGCCAAGATCATTTCAATGTTTACGTACAGTTAACAATGTTTTGCATGAGACGTTTAAATCAGCATGTGTTGCACGAGGACTCTTAAAAGATGATGAAGAATGGATACAGTGCATGAAAGAGGCTGCAGTTATGAAAACCGGATATCAATTGAGGAGATTATTTTGTATTATTCTGACTCAATGTTTTCCACTACAACCACATGCGTTATGGAATCAATTTTCAATGCATATCTGTGATGATCTTGCACATAAGCTTCGTACATTGTTTGCCATTTCTAACCCAACTGAGGCTCAAATTGAAGATTATGGTTTGTATCTTTTGAATCAAATGCTTCAAGAATCAGGAACGAGTTTAATTGACTTCCCGCCCATGCCACAACCTACAGCAAATTAGAGTGCAATAGTTGGTAGCCGATTGATATTCGAACATCAACAACTACAGAATGAGGCACAACAGACAGATGTGCAAATTACTATTGATCGCCTCAATAATGGACAACGAACTGCTTATAACGCAATCACTTCTTCAGTCTTTCAAAGTAAATAGACTATTTTCTTTTTGAATGAGAGTGCCGGAACGGGAAAAACATTTTTGTACAGTACGATTGCATTAAAATGTCGAAGCCTTGGCCATATTGTTGTTACCGTGGCTTCATCTGGAATTGCATCATTGTTATTAGTAGGAGGTTGCACTGCACATTCAACATTTTTCATTCCATTGGATGTCTTGGAAAATTCAGTTTGTAGGTTTAGCAAGCAATCATTACAGGCTGAATTGTTTAGAGAAACAAAACTCATAATTTGGGATGAAGTTCCTATGCAATATAGACATTGTGTTGAGGCGGTTGATCGCACACTTCGAGATATTTGTGATTGTGAAAAGCCATTTGGGGGTATCACTGTTGTTCTTGGTGGAGCCATTTGGGGGTATCACTGTTATTCTTGGTGGAGGCTAATTGATTTAAAATTGCATGAGCCTGGCGAAATTTGTCTACAAATGCATCAACTTGCAACAAACTATCTTGAATAGTTTTGAGAACATCCCTTCGTAAGTGATGATTTCTACGATTTCGAACTTCTAAAGCTGAATCAGGATCATAAATGTACAACTGAGCATAAGTCGCATCCTGACCTGGCTGTGGTAGAAGTGATCCTGTTCGATGTCGCAATTCCCCATGGATAATAAATGGTTTAGGGCCGCTTCCCCTTAGTACTCTTGGATCCAATGTAACACCAAGACTTGTAAAAGCATTGGCTGCATTGTATACTCGAGTATAATGTCGAAACGATCTTGCTTGATCATCATCCCCATCATATAATGCTTGAAGCGATGGAGGGGGTGTCATAAGCAAAGGTAGCCTAGTCTTTCCTTTTGAATAGCAAGTTCCAAATAAGGGACGTTTTCGAGATAATTGTGCTAATTTTTCGTCCATCCAATGTAAGGCTGAACTGTAAGGACATAACACATCCATCTTCCCGAGAGAATGACTACATGAATTCATGTGTGATTGAGTATTAATCGCAGTACTTATAGTCATATCTTCTAATTCATCATCAGTACATAGATCCTCTTGAAGAAATGTGACTGTAGAATTAGGCCTACAAATATTTGTTGTACGTAAATTAAAATTTATACACATGTAAAAGTCAGAGTATTATTTAAAGAATTAAACATGTTTTACCAATTCCGAGCTAAAGATGTACTTTCCATAGAGAACGAACATGTGGATGCATGTGTAACCATTGTTCGTTTTTGTGCCAACGAAGTATCCGCAAGTGTCTTTGTACCCTGTTCTAAGCAAACGTGACTGCGACTACTCGGTGTTAATGAAGGAAAGTCTTTAACATATGCTCCTAATCTCTCTCGTTCCTGTCGCAAGCGTTGTCCCGATTGATATGTAGAGCATGCATTTTCATTTCTTTCACGTTCTCGTCGTGCACGTTGAGCTAATACAGCTCTTGATATAACATAACCATTGGGTCCCTAAAATATGAATATTAAATCATTGGATGCCTAAAATGAAAATATTATCAAGTACCATTTTCCACTGTCCAAAGAAAATACCATTTTCTATTTTTATATCCCCTCTTCCAAAAAAAATACATTATACTCTTGCCCATGACTACCCATAGTTTAATAATAATAATAATAATAATAATAATGATAATAATAAATTGCGTGGTTTTGTTACACTAATGAACAAATGTTCGACCAGCAGATTGTGTGGTTTTGTAACAGTAATGAACAAATGTTCGATCAGCAGATGAGCTTCATAAAGTATTCCCATTTTCTTGTAGGGCCCATGCACTTACAGAAGACACTATATATTCCTTTCACTAGATATTCCTTCATAAAGTATCCCCTATATATTTCTTTCTTCCTAAGAATATATATGAGACACTAAAAAATGTGAATAGTTTCAAAAATAAAATACAATTATGGCTAAATAAAATACAATAAAACACAATTTTAGCTAAATAAAACACAATATATGAAGATACAAAAAAAAAAAAAAAACTCTACAAAAATCAATAACAACCATACCGCTAAACATGTATTTTCCTCTCGCTTGCCCTTACAATTAGTCATTTTTGTCATTTATAATCTATATAATAAATTGTGTGGTTTTGTTATACAAACAAACAAATGTTTGGCCAACTTATGAACTTCATAAAGTATCCCCATTCACATAGCTAGAAAAAAAAAAATTGTTGCCCATTTTCTCCCTCCTCTCTTTATCTCAAAATTTCCGCCCAGTTACATTGAAAAGTGGTGCAGATTTCCACATATATACAGGAGACACTTACAAAAGTACACAGTTTAAAAGATAAAAATACAATTATGGTTTAAAATAAATAATTGGACACGCATTTTCAAAAACACTCTACAATTATGGCTTAAAATAAACAATTGTTTATTGCTTAAAATAAACAATTCGACATACAATTATGGCTTAAAATACAAATATACGAAAACTAACAATTAAAAAAAAAAAAAAACAATTTACAAAAACCATTAAGAACTATACCGTTGGACATGCATTTTCCTTTCCCTTGCCCTTGGAAGCATAAGACACCTATTATTTTCCCTTCGACATTGCCTTTGCATTTTCCTTTTCCATTGCCTTTACAAAATAACCAAAGTCTAAGAAATAACCAAAGTATAAGAAATAAAAATAAATAAATAAAAAATGATAAGAAAATGATTTTTGGACTGACATTAGAAATACAAACGACATTGAAATCATGCTCATCACGAATCACTACACCGATATTTCTTTGTTGAAGAAATTGAACCTATACATACAAAAACAAATAAGTAGCTAATATGTACACAAAATGAAATTTTATAAGATGATGAGTAAAGGGAACTAATATTACAGTTCATTGTAAGTCTCCATCTAGCTATAAAAAATGAGGAATTTTTTTTTTTTTTTATAATCAGAACCTATAATACAAAACTTTTTTTAAAATCTATGTACCGGTTTTTTTTTTAAAAAGACAACTTACATTATCCATAATGTTAGAGGTCGTTCCAGCTTAGTATTGCCAAAACCTGTAATGCGAAAGTTGACTTCAGTATATACATATTAATCCAGTAATACATAATACAAAAGTTAACTTGTAAAGGTTTTGGAATACATAACTTATATGAATACAAAAGTTATTTTAATTCACGAAGTGAAACCAAACGAAGTAATCAATAGATACTTAAATGGAATCAAACCTATTGATGGCTTAAGCTTTGTTGAATTTAATTGAACTAAAAGATGTTTAAATGGAACTGCAAAATTTATAAAGTTAATTCATTTGACAAACTAATAAAAAATCATCAATCATTTTGAAATCCACAATTAATTCATATGATAAAATATCTCATTCAAGGAATTAATAAAAAATCACACTGAAAAAAAAAATCACACATATGCAAACTAATAACCCAACAATGATTTTCCGCCACCAAAATAAGTTGTGTTTCCACGAATGTATTTATTAAAATTAACAAATAACAAAACATTTGAAATAAATCCACAATTTGAAAATAATAATTTGACTCCAAACATTTTCAGGTATTGGTAACACAATCTGAATCCAAACAACATCAAAATAAAGTAATAATTGTGGGGACGTATTTTCTGAATACCAACACGTGGCAAGGTGATGCCGACGTGTCAGCTGAGGTGCCACGTGTCCAGGTAGTGACGTCGAGATTATCTCGGCGAGGCCGAGGTTATCTCCGAAGATATCAAAATCCGAGATAAATGGATAAAAGATAAGGGACAAGAGTCCTAGAGTAAAGAGAAGACTTAGCCAAGATAAAGATAAAGCTCTTAGGGAGTTTATCTTTATCTCTTGAGGAGTCCAAAGTAAGCACTGAATGGGAGTCCATAGAAGTCAAACTTCTAGTGGGACTAGGATTGAGTAAACTATAAAAGAGAGGCACCCCCGTGGGTCTAAGGTACGCAGTTTTATGCTTTGAATAGTGAGTTTAGCACTTGATTATCTTTGAGAGATATACTGACTTGATCGTCGGAGCGCCCCCGGGTGGAAGAGCCACCGCCGGAGCCTTTTCTTTCTGTTACAGGTTAGCTGAAGCCATCTATTCTTCCGGTGCTCTCCAGCTGATTACTAGGCGGGCAGTGTGGTCAGAAAATCACCCACACAATTTGGCGCCGTCTGTGGGAAACTTAGAAGAATAGATGGCCAGTAACGGACAGAAGGAAAACATTGGGGGTGACACTCCTGCTGGGAGTGGCAGACCAATTGACCTTGACATTGAAGGAGACAACCACAATGCAGAAACTCATGACCAGGGCCACGGCGCGAAAGACATCGGCCAGGAGGGCGACACTTCGAAGAGGACAGAACAAGGCAAGTACTATAACGAAGATAACCTTCAGGTATGGAGGGATAGGTGCCTACGGAGGGATGAGGAAGTAAAAGAATTGGCAAACAAGTTGGCAGACCTTCAGTCGGTCGTCAACTT